GGGTAAGGGCACCGTTGCATGCGGGGGAGGTGAGGAAGTGTATTTTGGAGGCGATGGATGGGGTGGTGAGGGAGTTTGGGGCGCAGTTGGGCGAGTGTGTGCTGGCGTTGGGGCATGCAGCCTTTGACCGGGTTATGGGGGAGGAGTGGGAGGGTGCGGAGAGGGTGGAGGTGGATCAGGGCAAGTGGGTGCAGTTTTGGAGGTCGGTGGGAGCGGTTCGCAGGAGAGAGCCGCGGGATATGGGGTATTGGGTGAGGCGGGTGTCTCCTGAGGAGCGGGGTCCTGGGTTGGACTTCAACACTCTTGTTGTGTGAACTTGTGTGAGCTTGTGCTAGCCTTTTCCGCAGTAGATAGGTACATATCATCCAGAAGGACTGACATCAGGTTCGGGGTTGTAAGGAGTAAAGGCTTATCGCTACAGAATGGTAGGTACATGCCAACGTAAAGATATACCCTTTCCTACATGTGACCAAAAGTCTTGACAACGGAACAGGGCTTGACGGAACGAGACAACACAGCCTAGAGAACCCCCAGCATACCCGTCTTTGGCCACCGGAGCACGCCAAGCATACATGTAGGTACCTAGGTACTCGCCCTCGGCCAAACCATTAGTGCTGCATTTACATCGGCATGTTCGACTGCCCGGGCATGATGGTGAGCCCTAGAAGAGTGTTAGGATTTTCTCTCGCCACTGTCCACAGCTGCACTTACACTTATCGGTACCGAGATCCTCACGCGCGCTCTGGCCCTTGGTACAAGCGATGGCCTGCGCATCAGTCTGCCTCTTGAGCGGCGCGCACCTATCACCAGAGCATTTGCCATCCATGGCCCTCTGGAGGGCGTCGCCCTGCCAGCCAAAGACGTAGTCTCCGTGGATGCCATACCCAGTGTTGTCGCCGTGGCTCCAGTAGAAGGGCTGCGAGCCGTCGGCGGGCCACTCGGCTTTGTTGTTGAACTGGCGCGTGTCGTACATGACCTCGTACATGACCTGCGGGACCTTGACCGGGTGGCTGGCCGGGCAGGGGCCGCCGCTCTCGAAGCTGCCGCTCTGCGGGTAGGCGAGATGGCTCTTGTGGTCGGGGCTGTCGGTGTTCTTGCCGTCCCAGCACGAGGGGAAGGTCACCGTCACGCGCCAGCCGCCGCCGCAGGTCGACTTGGGGAACGCCTTGGTGTCGGAGCCCGTGCAGGGCGCGCCGCCGAAGGGGCTCTGCTGCATGTTGGCTTCGCAGCGGAAGCAGAGGCCTGATGGGACCCTGCTCGCCTCGCGGTTGTTGGGGTCGCCGACCAGCATGCGGAAGCCCTGTTGCTGTTAGTCCAAAAACTTCGTCTTTTCCTGAAAGATACCACGGGAACGTACCGGAGGGAAAGCAGTGACCCGGGCACTGGCTTGGTATCCGCGAATGCTGGAGGTGGGATCAAACGTCAGCCACTAAGTTCACAGAGCCCAACGATGCAACCCAACGTACTAGTACACCGTCATACCACCCTTGACGTTGAGGCCCAAGTTGGCAAACTGCGGAACCAGCTTGTACGTGCCATTGCGGGCCTTGAAGTACACGTTGGCGGTCCAGTAGTTGGAGAAATCTTCCGAGTACGTGCAGCTGGTGCAGGTGGAGACCTTCGGAGGGTCAAGCGAGTCCGGGGACATGGACACATTGAACGAGTTGCCGCCGATGACCTGGTGCACGTGGGGTGACGGGAGACTGCCCGGGTTCACTAGGGGGTCGATACGGTCGATGGTCAGCTGTGAGCAGCCGAAACGCATCAGCTCCTGCGCCGCAGCAAGCTGGGCTGCCGCCAGGGCGGCGATCGAGGCCTTGAGATGCATTCTAGGGGAGGATTTCAATGATTTCGGCTGTTTTGTGAGTCCAAGGTCTTGTAAAGAAGGAGTCGTAACAAGTAGGAGGATGCGTTGGAGTACGTCTGAAGCAACAACACTCAAATGGGAAACAGCGAGCAGGGCTTGGAGTGGCCTTGCCTTCAGCTCATATATGCTTCGCGGGGGTCTGGTCTCCAACCATTCCCCCATGTTTTGACGGCCCTGCCGGTACGACGTGCATATCCGGGACAGCAGTGCCGAGCGGAGGAACCGAGCACGTATGGGTGGCAGGCGACCATGCTGTGCCCAGTCATGCCCCGTGGTAAAACTGCCGAGTCTGCTGTTAATTTAACCTTATATTCCTGCCAAGTCTGGGGAGCTTCTATTTGACAGGGCGAGCAACTGCTATCCGCCAACTCAACCGATTGGTGCGCATCCCTCCTCAGAGATGGATGCTTCCTCCTTTGGATAAAGCTGGACCCAATGGAGATCAGACGGGACTTTTCACAGCTAAACAATACTGTGGCTCGGTCCTTTTCTGGCGGAGGAAGCCGAAATAACCTCGACGGCATATCAACATGAGCCACACCCTCCACGGACCTATATGGCGCACTATCCTATTTTAGACGATGCACACCTGCCCATGTGTTGGCGCCTTACCTTTCGGACATTTATTCTCTGCCCAGCAAGGACACTTCGGCACTCGCTACTGGGTGCCGCTCAACTTGTCTGAGTGAGGCTAGAGCCTAGATGAGCCGATGAGAAGGGTCGCAGAGCAGCAACGGGCCAGCCGGGACCAAAACCCTCATCGAAGTTCTGGCCCCTGCTCGCCTTCAAAAAAAGTTGGCATTCGTTAGCGGTAGTTGTAGCGAGAAGGATGGCGCCCCCGGAACTGAAATCACGTTCGTCGAGCTTCTAAATGCAACCCCAAACAGCATGCCCATGCCGCAGCTCCCGGCAGACTATGGGATCTTCGTCCATACCGGTTATCTAGCCACTCCCAGACTCCCATGGGATTCCCTCGGTCTGTCCATCTTGGGCTCTGGTCCTCCCCAAACTGGAATGGCCCCATGCTGACCCGACCCATAAATAATTAGAGTGAACTTCGCGCAGACAGGCTCTTTTAAGGATTCTAATGTAGCTGCGGCCGGCAAGTTGTATTTGCTAGTCCACTACGACCGCGGAAAAGCCGAGGGATGTACATACCCTCCACCGTGGGATTCAGCAAAGGAAAAGGGGCTGATGGGGGTAAAGTCGAGATGATCTCTCTGATAAGCAGCGGTCTAGGCAGCGGGTGGCCCGGAAATGATGCGAGAAGCTCGCAGTTATTAGATTGTACCGGATTGATTGCCAATGACGGACAGATTCCATTTTAAGGGCGGCCTTTACACCTCGTCGCTGCTAATTACAAAACCCAATCACTGTCCAATTTCTCAGAGGAAAGGATCATAGTGTTTCCAAAGGCCCACAGAAGCCCAATGTCCCAGCCATCGGGCAGCTCGCCAACCGCGATTCCATCATCGGAGGTAGCCTGAGAGCTTGAGGCTTGGTTTGACCAAACCAGCGTCTAATCTAGTAGTCCCATTCTAGCCGTCTTCCGATCAAGGAGCCACCCCAAAGCCCCGTGAACGCTGCCACACCCAGTTTGATCACACAGCGCACTTTTGAGATCCCTTTTCCCCACAAGCAACGCCCTCAACGCCTAAGCCATCACCAAAACCCACATCACACGACACAACCAAAAGTCCCATGCTCATTTCTTCCCTTGCCCGTGCCGCCCATGCTTCTCGACCCATTTCTCATAACTCACATAATCCTTGTTGATCTTCCCCTCGCGGTGCGTGCCCAACATCCGCGGCTCATACCGGTCTGCCTCGGCCGCCACCATGTAGTCGCGTCCGGCTTCCCAGATGTACCACGAGCCGCCCAGGATGCTGCCGAGGGCGAGTGTGGAGATGCTATTCATTTATCAGAGTGTGAACAGTGTTGTTTTGATGTTTAGTTTATTCTGCTTGGAGATTGGGAAGAGGGGATTAGTGGCAAAGGGCTCGACAAGGTAGGTATGTATGGGCTGGGGACGTACGTGCTCGGCCCCCACGCCGACGGCGGCCGGGCGAAGAAGCGGGACGAGCTAGAGGGGTTGGGCTTGGGCATGCCGCTGCCCATGCTGGTCAAGATGACCGGGCGGGTGGTGCTGCTCTTGCCCGTGACAAAGGTTACCGAGCGCGCGGTGGCGGGAGGGGCGGCGGTGGGGACGGGGAGGTGCGGGTGTGGGAGCAGGGCGCGGCGGCCGGGGGCGAGGCGGGTTACTCGGAGCATGGTGGACAGTTTGTTGTTGTTTCTGTATGTTTCTTTGGTGTCTATTGGGTGGAAATAGTGAATTTGACCAGTGGATGGATTGTACAAAGTTTCTCTGGTTGATATCGCCCCTTAGTAGCACTGGATTGGGTACCTATGACGCAAGTTGGAGATCATATCAACCCCTCCTCCGAAACTCACCTAACCCATTGACTTTGGACAGAATAATGAAAGAGACCAACAACGGACTTCATTTCCGGAACCTGTGAGAGGAATGCGCCATATATAGACTAACTAGCACGGTGTCTCTGTTTCGAGGAGTGTCTCGACAGCGTCCTTGTCCTTAGCCCTGGCTCGACACAAAATGTGTAAAATTCCCGCTTGCATCTAATAGCTTGCACTAGCTACAATTTGCGTATCCCGTAACCTTGGGGCATAGGAAATATTACGGCTATCACCCCACACCAGGTTGGCCACCTTGCATAGGTAGGTTTCTACAGAATATATGAGCCTAGGGTGAGCAAAGAAACCCAAGCTGACGACTGGAACTTACGGACCAGCTTTCCAAGGAGCCGCTCGTCCGGCTCCATTGACTCCATCAACTGGTAAACAAATCCACTGTTTCTGGGACCCTCTAAATCCTACGGAGCAGGTGCTGCACGTCGATTATTGGCTGCGTGTTTCCGTAGGATGGTGGGAAGCTGGCTCCCTCGGACAGCGTTTCCCAATGGAGCCGAAGATCAACACAGACTCCACGATATCTCCTCTCTTTCAGGGGTTAGTGCGCAGTGGTGGATTGGAACATGCGGTCGGCCTTGTGACAGATCACTTTCCAGTTTATATTATTCATACTCCGCTATGCCCTAGGGCGTGCCGGACCCTCAGCTATTTAGTGTAGAGGAAAACCGTGCCCTCCCGGGCCGGGTGAAAAACCCATACCAACAATCAAGGAACGATGCGTTCTGGTGAGTCTGCGTATACAAAGAGAGGAGGCCTCCTGGCCTCCGAACGGGGGCGCTTCAGGCCGCCGCTTCCAGCTCGAGCCCCCTGGCTGAAGCTGTACATCGGCAGCTTCCCCGAGTCCATCAGCTAGTCAAGGACTCTCCTTGCGAGCCGTGCAGTCGTGGGATTGATTCCGTGTAGAACAGAGTAAAAGACCCGTCGTGTCCGAATTCCAGTTCTCTCCCATCTTCGAGTCAACGGTGGGGCCAAACATCACACTATCAGGTGTTCGGCAGTCTCTCGTCCCTCGCCACACTCGCAGGCAGGAGTCAGAACCTCCGGGACTCACCGTGTAAACAAGAAGTCCCGTAGGCCTATTGATCCCGTCCGGATTTGAATCAGCAGTGAGCTCTTCGCCTTGCTGAGACCGTCGTGCCTCCTTAGGGTTTCGTTCCGGAATAACGTCTCGGATGGTCAAAGTCGTCCGCCAGCCTAGTGATTGCCCTGCCGTCGGTCGGTATTATTACTGCTTGGGGTTCCTTGGGTTCCGACACTGCGCATATTCAAACCAAGGAGCGGGCCTAGCAAAGGCTTCAAACATAGGGAAATAAAAAACTAGTTATTGGTAAACGTTGGATAAATCGGTGGTTTGATTGGTATCCGTTCCTCAGAAGCTACAACTAATTACGTGAAATCTTGCATATGTACAATGAAACGCATTCGCTTGCCACGTAGCGTGACGGTGGAATAGGCGGAACATCTCCACGTGACGGATGCTCAGTTCAAAGACAGTATATCGGTGTAACTTTGATACTCCATACATGACAGGTGCGCAAATCGACGATGTTTCAAAATTATAGGCCAGCCATGGTCCACGGAGACGAGAAGATGGAGAAGAAACTCCAAAAGCACAAACCCACATGTTGAATACAATAACTAATAGTTCACACCCGCAACCCAGCCCTCCTCCTCTTTAACCTCCTCGCGCAAAAGAAGACCAACCCCATGACAGCAACACCCACCACCGGCAGCACCTAGCCGTGGCTCTTCCCCAAGGATACAATTATGGCAGCATTATAGGAATGCCACGACGAGCTGCCAAGGTGTTTGAGGATGGGCGTTGAGACACGGCCGTTGAGGTTCTCCATATTGGGGTTCTCCTTCGGCCCGGCCAGGACTTTGAGGTTTGCGCGGCTGGGCTGGATGGCTTGAATCCTTTTACTTGAAGGAATGGCATTGTCAGTACGGGGCAGTTTGTTGAACAGGCGGATTAGAACGGGGAATGGGAAACCCACGACGCATAATGGCAGCCGGTGCTAAACATGATGGTTGGATACGGCAGGCCGAGCAAGTGTCTGTTGTATCGGCGCAAGTTGTCCACGAGCTGGCGTACGTAGGTGTTGCCCTTGCTGGCCATCATGAAGCTGATCGACAAGCCGGTTGGGTGAGCAGCGGGGGCGGCAAATTCGAAGCGTCGGAGGGGTCCCAACGCGCGCTTGCATTGGAGGTCCATGTCGAGAATGACGCCTGGGTGGTGGTAATGTGTTAGTCCCGTTATATCTGCCATCTGTATGGATACCTGTGTTGAGAGGCGGTGCTTACCGCCATGATGGTACAACACCATATACCGCAGCGCATCAACCTTCTCAATAGGATATCGGTATGTCGTCCACATATTGTAAAGCTCTGGGGAGTGCTGGCTGACGAGTTTATCCGCAGCCTCGTGAGTTCAGAGAAAGGCTTCCCAGTCTGGGTGCATGTCCAGACAGCTCTGGCGAACTTCGGTCCATTTCGAGTGCGTGGCAACTCCAGAACCGAGCGAGATGTGATGGAGAATAGGAGGTACTCGGTCTGGGAACGGAGCGGCGCTCGTTTGGTGAATGCTGTAGTTTGCAAATGTCACGTCGAAATTGTCGAGCTCGGCTGAGATGTAGAAGTGGTCGGAGTAGCCCGGCCAGATCAAGGGAAGGGATGCGAGCGTCAATGTGTCATGAAAAAGGTCCTGGGCGTACCAAAGCCCGCAGAGCACAAGGAATAGAACTGAGGCGGAGGCCCTGCGTCGCACTCGGCGCACACGTATTGTTCGCGGTGTTGGCCCCATAGCAAGCAAGTGTCAAGGTGGGTGAGGAAGACGCAGGGCAGTATTGAGCGGGGAAAACATGGTAAAAAGCAATGGTCGGCTGTGTGTTAGAGACCCGACTCCTCGACCAGGTTCTTGGAGCCCGGAGAGCCGCATTGTTGGAACAGACGAGATGGGAATGTTCCTGTTAGGGACACTTGGGTTTGTCATACTGTGCATCTAATCACCTTGCCGTCATCCCTATGAAGCGAGCCATTGGCCCGTTGCATGGCTCGAGCACATTTGGTTTTCGTCCGGATTGAACAAACGGCGGATGAAACTACTTGATGACGACGCTTTCATTATCGCTCGTGGCCGAGAAGTTTGGATTATGGCGAAGCGAAAGGCCCGGAAATCTGGGAGGCACATGTTTGGGAGCACGCGTACGGTTCTCCCGGTACTCCGTGCCGTGGTGTGAGCGAGCGTTTGGGGCACACGACAAAGGGCCCCGAGAAACGTGCATTTTTGGAGAAACGGTCTAGTCAGATTGGATTTGGGCACCCCTAGATTGGCTGATTCGTAGTGGCTGAGCGCCGGGAGGTGAAGGCCTCCATCTCATCGCATCATTGGAACCTTGTCCTCGCGACCTGCGGTATAACCATCCCTTTCAATAAAGCAGGGAAATGGAAACTGGGCGGTCAACTGTTAGTTAAAAGGAGAAAGCAATAGCGGGATGTCAAGCGGCTTAGCGGCGAAATGCATCCTCTCGGACTCGCTCCTCCTTTGCCTGAGTCCGAGGACGGTGTTTAGGACTGGAATCGATAAAATAAAAACGATGGGGTCTCCAAGGACACGTACACTCCGCGCAGGAAATTCCCAAAGGGCGTGCAGTAATCGTGCTGTCGTCTAAGACCTGTACGACGCAAGCCGAAGGAAGCACGACCATGCCAACCAATGCCATGTCCACAGGCTAGGCAATGTTGTAACTGTTGGTGGACCAATAAGGGGCAGGTTTGACCCCTCGTGGAGATTCCTTGGTTGCTTTTCCCGCACCTGCTCCGATTTGTTCACCACATCTCCACCCCATCTCAGCATCGTCCGCCTTTGGTATACCACTCCTGCTTAGGTAGTAGTAATACCCGAGATACCAAGCAACATGACGTTAGGGTCAACAAAGCTGAGGTATACAGCCCTGACCGGATATTTCCAGCACGATGCACAGCCCACGGACCGGTCCTTCGAAGCGGTGAGCATCACGCCGGTCCCATGTACATACATGTGCACTACCTAGAGCGCCATTTGCTCACAACGCCAGATTACTTTACCGGCACTAGGCTTGATTGACCGGGGGTACGAGACTGACAAGTCATTTGACCCCCTGGGCGAGAAAAGCAGCTGGGAACGGTTCGCCCACTACCTCGACCATTTGAACGAAGCAGCGGGCGGCAAGGCCGTCTACAAGCTTCTGTACGCCGCTCGCCACGGCCAGGGCTACCACAATGTAAAGGAACGAGAAGTTGGAACAGCCGCGTGGGAGGTAAGCATTATCCTTCTGTGTTGTCCTAGGTCGAGACAGAACAGCCAACATCCTCTCCCGCGCAGTCGTACTGGGCAAAGCTAGACGGCGACGACAAGATGACCTGGGCAGACGCCCACCTGACTCACACGGGCATCGGCCAGGCCAAGGCCATGAACACTTTCTGGGAAGACGCCGCGGTCACCACAAAGCTGCCTCTCGCGCGCCGACACTACGTCAGCCCCCACGCCCGCTGTCTGGAGACCTGTGAACTAGCTTTCTCAAACCTGACACTACCGCCCGGCGGCGGCGAGGTCCCGGCTTTCAAACCGCTCATCAAAGAGCTCATCCGGGAGAGACTGGGCATCCACACGTGCGACCGCCGGCGCACACGCACCTGGATCCAAGAGAACCACCCCATCTTCGCTATTGAAGAGGGCTTCGTGGAGAAGGATGAGCTGTGGAAGCCGGATGTGAGAGAGACGCTGGCAGAGCACGCGGTCCGAGTGAAGGCGTTCTTGGATGAGGTGTTTGCTAGCGACGACGCGCCTATTATTTCGGTCACTGCCCACTCGGGGACTATTATGGCGCTGTATGAGGTCATTGGACACCCGGCGGTGAGGGTCGCGCCTGGAGCCATCATCCCGGTCTTGATCAAGGCGGAGGTTGTGGAAGGATAGGAGCACTCGTGGTAAGAGCGGAGGTTATTCAAGAAATACAACATTGTTATCTGGAGGATTCTTTGGCGGAAGACAGAAGCCCAACGTTGAGACCGTCTCAAAGAGACTCTGAAAAATATCTTTTACCTCCGCTATTGCCCCTCCGGAATCTCACACGCCGTCTCCGGGCAATACCCATGGTTACACGCATAGCTACACAACCCCTCATAGCTCTCATCCAGCCCCTCCACCGGAACCCCCGGTGTGCCCGTAACAGGTGGCTCCTCAATCTGCGGACCATACAGGCCACACACGCACGGCCCCGGCGGACAGTATCCATACATACAACAGAACCCACACAGCCCCGCATAGCCGCCGTCCCCCTCCCCCTGAACGCACACCAGGCCGGGCTCGGGCGCCGGGCGGTAGGCCGTCGTGCACACGTCGGCGGGGCAGTAGCCCCGCGAGCAGGCAAAGTCGCACAGCGGGCCAAAGTCGGCCGGCTGCCCCACCACGGCATACCCGGGCCCGTCGACCACCGGTGGGGGGGGGTTGGGGGTGTCGCTGGTGGTGCACGTGCAGGGTGATGGGCAGAAGTTGTAGTGGCAGCTGTAGTCGCACAGGCCGAGGTACCCGCCGGGTCCGGTGCCGCTGGTGCAGATGTGTGTTGGGGTGGAGGTTGGAGGGGTGGTGGTGGTGGTGGTGGTGGTGGATTCAGGGGGGATGGTTGAGGTGGTTGGGGATGAAACGGCGTGGATACTGTTGTAAAGTAAGGAGTGGTGTCAGTGAAGCTGGTCCAGTCGGAGGGCTGCTACATGTAGACATACCAATAATCGGAGCCCACTTGCAGGTTGGTGCATTCGGAGTCGATGGATGGGTTGAGGCCTGCTCGCATAATTAGCAAGCCGTCGAGTTGGAGAATTTTCAGACGGCGTATTTACCCAGCAGCTGACTCCATGCGATCTCAAAAAAGAGGCAAATAGAAGTGCAGGTATCGTCTTCCTCGACCTCATACCAGTAGCCACAGTTGGAAGAGCTCCCTGGGGGAGTTGGATTCGCAGGGTTCCTTGAGCAGCAGGGTGCTAGGTCAGACGACATTCGTCAAGGAGGGACAGAATCCAACACGTACGCAGTAGTGGTAAACACCGTCGTCTGCGGTGGGCCAACAACGTCCGGCACATAGAGGCCCGTAGAACCCGGAGGTCTGTTCAGAGGAGCAAGTCAGACTCGGCTACATGTGGTCGCTGGATTGGCGCGTCGTGGAACTTACGCAACACAAACCGAATCACCCGCCTTGGAGGACATCCCCCATGCTGAGGAAGAGGTTCCACGTCCAAAACTGGACTTCGGTAACGCCCGATGGTACTGAGGGCCGTGGAGCTTGCGAAGGCGCGTGCAGAAATCTGTTGCCCCACGATGAGGCGTGTACAGGTGACGGGCGAGCAGACTGTCTGGCCACGGAGGTCGTGACACGGAAGCTCGGGGTTTAAACGGCGCACGCCGGCGGTGGGGAAATCGTGGGCCGCGGCAAAGCTGTTGCAGTCTATCGGGGGGCTGGCGCTGTCACCCGCTGGGACTGACACAACGTTGGGGCAGTCGGTCAGGTCCCGCGGCTCCCGCTCCCCGAAATCGCTGTGAATGGCGTATAAGCAATCATCTGTGCACTGTTAAGTTGTGAAGATAAATACTTACGCTGGAAAATCAAATACTGCGTTTCTGTATGGGTTCGGGATTCTCGTAATCCCACAGTTCTTCACCATGTTTCTCCAGATTTGCTCCGGCATCTCACTGTACCCGTCTGGAATTAGAATTGCTCGTGTTCGGGAGAAGACCTCGACAGAGAAACAACTTACGTCCAAGCTGGTGCTCCCTTCGGTTCGTATTTCGTCAAGAACAATGATCTGTCCGTGGTAAGCCATCAGATGCCCTGCTTCGACTTCACGAAACCGACCATCAGGGACTATTACTCACGCAAAACACGGCTGGCACTGCATCTGAAGCGGATACTCGTCCTCGTAGATGAGATCTGGCCATCCGTGGCCGTTGTCTGTCGGCATCTCCGAGGATCGGTTGTAGTAAATGTCGTAGGCGCCAAACGCGCCACTAGCATAGTGGTAGTTCTGGTAGCTCGGCTGCATGTCTTCCCATGGCGTTGGATCGATACATTTTCCGTTCTCGTCCATAGCCCAATAGAATCCGTGGGTATCATCCCATTGGAGATGGCACTTCAGGGTCCAGGTCGGCCACTGCACAGTACCATCCATGACAAGGGCGCCAATATCCCATCTGAGGTGTCGTCAGTGCTAAATTCTAACCAGGACCGCTCCTCGCTCAAAAGAGGTATCAGCTCACGTCTTTTCCACTTCCAAGCAGAACTCAGGAGGCGATCCCTGGGTTGAGCATATCAACTTCAGTCTGTCCGAGATGGTATCACTGAGGTCAGCCAACGAGAAGAGAGTGCCGTCCATGTAAAACGTGTCTGCTGCACAGCTTGCGGCCATGTTTGTAACCAGCGTGTTTAGGTCCGCGACACATGATGGATCGCAGATGGCCGAGAGGCCGGCGAGGTCCCACCCTGGCAAAAAGTGTGTTTAGTGACCATCTTGCCCAAGGGAGTTCCCACATAAAAGAGTTTACTCACCAACAGCTGCCTCCTCGTAAATTAAAAGCTGAACAGTGTCTGGACAGTTCAAGGGCGTGTTGAAGGCTGCGTCGCACCCCAGGCTGAGGCTGTCCGTGAAGAGAGTCCGTTGGAGGCCATTGTAAAAGGTTATAGCCGCCTCGACAGAAAGGAAAAGGAACTGAAGCCAAATTATGAAGGCCATTTGTAGGGTGATAGCTGTCGAACCGGATTTGCTCCCAGTCATCTTGAGTGTCGCTTCGTCTGAGAAGGGAGACGAGCCCGGGGGCCAGCTACTCACGGGTAACTTGAATGGCCATCATCGAGGTGTCAAGGAAACAGTGTCATGGGACGCCTCTGGCAACCATGTTAGTGCCCAGCCCCTGCCAAGGGGAACTATGCAGCTCCCAGTACCCGATGGGGAGTAGAACGATGCAGGGGCCGGTAGGAGTGCAACATCACCTCGCCTCGAGAGATTCACTATCGGTTTTTTATGTGATTGTGTTGCGCCATTATTGAGCGCCATCATTAACCGCCCACACGGCCGAGTCTAGCGTCTGGGCAAGACAGCCTCGCGATACTTGGCACGCATAGTCTGGACCTACGGGCTACTCGAAAAATGGCACCAACTGCCTCTGCGCGCTTCCCATGGCCCCTCTCTACCGGCCCCCAATTGTGGGATGGGTGTGATGAGTCCCATTGACTTTGTGATGGAGTTCGCTTCTCGGCACGCACGGGCGAGGCCAAGCAGTGCACATACAAGAGGTCTGGTCATGGGGTCACTGGCTGGGTATGTTACGTCCGTGATTCCTTGACCCCGGACGGAGGACTGGAGACACAACATTGGGCGCTTCGCCTCGTCTGTTTCGGTGTCTCTTCTGTCGCATTTCACGTTCCCCCTTCCCTTTGACTAACCTAACCTTCAGCATTAGGATCCCTCACCACTGAGGACTGAAGATGCCGCTTCGCCTGCAGAGCCGCGTGGGCTTCCTGTTTTTGACTATCTTGCTCCTCTTCGACGCGGCGCTCTCCCAGCAATGCTCCGCCACGAACCACTGCGCTGTCGGTTGCTGCAGTCAGTGGGGAAGCTGTGGTTTCGGTCCTGATTTCTGCGGCGCCGGGTGCCAGAGCACATGCGATGCTGAGCCTGACTGTTCTGCCACCAAGTTGTGCGAAACCGGCTGCTGCGGTCAGTTTGGGAGCTGCGGCTTTGGCCCCGAGTTCTGCGGTACGGGTTGCCAAAGCACCTGCGACGCCGAGCCGCAGTGTTCTCCAACCAAGCCATGCGAGTCGGGCTGCTGCAATCAATGGGGCAACTGTGGGTTTGGGCCTGAGTTTTGCGGAGCTGGTTGCCAGAACAACTGCGATGCCGTGGCTGACTGCGGTGGTGAGTGGACTCAACTGCCATGGAGCCTCGATGCAGTGGCCCGCGACATGGAGGTTGACATTGACCTTGAACAACCATAGAGTATGCCGCCCCGGGGAAGAGCACATGCCCCCTCAATGTCTGCTGCAGTCCCCACGGCTTCTGCGGAACGACGGATGAATTCTGTGGCGACGGTTGCCAGAACGGTTGCAGCAACATCCCACCGGCGTAGGTTGCCCCTGTTTTTTTTCATTTCTAGCAGAAGATTCCCTTGGGCTAAATATCATGCGGATAGCTCTTGCTCAGGGGGCACTAGCGACAAGAAGACCATTGGGTACTATGAAAGCTGGTCCACCACGAGACCCTGCGATGCGTGGTACCCAGAAGATCTCAATGTCGAACTGCTGACGCACATCAACTTCGCCTTTGCCCTGGTCGGGCCCGACAACAAGATCGCCACGGCCAACGCATATGACATTGACCTGTACAGACGCACGACCAACCTGAAAGCCCGGAACCCAAGACTTAGGGTATACATTGCCGTTGGCGGGTGGGCCGCTGGCACCGCCGACTTCTCCCGCATGGCGTCCACCGCCGGCGGGCGATCAACTTTTATTTCGTCGGTTTTGGCCTTCATGAAGACGTATGGGTTTGACGGCATTGACCTGGACTGGGAGTATCCATCTGCTGATGACCGGGGCGGCGTTGCTGCCGACATGGCCAACTACGTGTCGCTGGTGAGCGAGATGCGTGCTACCTTTGGGCAGCGGTACGGCATCACGGTTGCTGTACCGAATTCCTACTGGTATCTGCGTGGCTTCGACGTTGCTGGGATGATCGAGCATATTGATTGGTTTAACGTAATGAGTTATGATATTCACGGCACATGGGATGGAAACTCGAAGTGGACACAGCCATTGGCGCTGCCACACAGCAATATCTCTGGTAAGCATCACGATTCATGAAATATCAAGGCATATCCAAGCTGACATAGGGCACCATCTTATTAGAGATTAGGGACGGCCTGAATTTGCTCTGGAGAAACAACGTCCCCCGGCATAAGGTCGTTCTCGGCCTCGCCTTCTATGGGAGATCCTTCACGCTGAAGAGCGCAAGCTGCAACACTCCTGGTTGCGAGTTCCGGAGTGGCGCAGAGCCAGGGCCCTGCACGGGAACCTCGGGCGTGCTCTCCAACAACGAGATTTTTTCTATCATTCAGGAAAAGGGGCTGACACCCGTTTTCGACCAAGAAGCGGGCGTTAAGTACATTAACTGGGACGGCGATCAATGGTATGCCCTGCCAATATCCAATTTGCTTCTGATATCGATCTTTGACCGGATGATCTAGGGTATCATATGATGATTGGGAAACGTTTGCCCTGAAGAAGGCCTTTGCTAACAGCGAGTGTCTTGGAGGGACCATGATCTGGGCATTGGACCTCGATGCATTTGACCACCGGTCTCTGTGGGGAGTAGGAGGCTCCTTTGAGGGATACGGAGCCGCCTACAAGGAAGGGGGTGCCGTGGGAGGGCCTCCGCCATCCAAAGGCCTGATTCAGGCAAATAACCTGGCTAAAAAGGCAGACAACCAACAGACTATCATTGGGTTGGTATGTAGATCAGCCTTAGGCCGCCAACTATGCCAATTTGCTAACAAGGGACACCAGCTGGTGTTCTGGACCGAGTGTAGCAAGGATCCAAAGTGCCCCGTGGGCTTCAAGGAACTCACCAGGAGCGCAAACATGGTGCGTATTAGCTCCCCAGCAAACTCAATCATCACGTAGCGGGCTTTTCGCAACTAACGTCGGCGGCGTATCAAAGATCTCGGGCGCCATTCGTAACACGTGCGATCCGGGCAAGTTCAGAATCATGTGCATTGAAGACAACGTCGATCCTCACGGCTGCATCTGGTATGGTATGCCTCCATCATGCAACAGCCAGTGCCCTGCGGGATCCATCCTGCTCTTCAAGGGCTCGGACTGGATCAATGGTTTCGCCCGAGTATGGGGCTGGTCCAGCGGCCTCACATGTCGAAACAGTTACAGCTTTGTGAGAAGCCCATATCTGCCCCCCTTGCTCAAACCCAGCCGAACAACAACTGACACATCCGGCAGTGCTGCGAGAGAATTGACATCGCACCCAACGAGCTTGGGCAATGCGAGCTCAATGGCAATATCAGCCCTTACTTTGGTGCCCCCGGCGGTGGCTACTCGGGAGACAGCCATATTGCGCGGAGAAGGGTGGCACAGCTTCAGGAATTGCATCCCGCGCCGCTCCCCTCGGGCTACGTGAGCCCGGAGGAGTGTCAGTACCAGAGAGGCTCGCTGCAAGTCATGGGCAGTCCGCTAAATGGCGGCTCTTGGATCTACCAGCTCCCGGGCCAGTGGATCAACAACCCCGGCGGAAACGGCCTGCCTGCGCTGTTCGTGCCCCATGGAAAGCCCGGCCCCGGCGGCCTGAATCTGCCACCGCAGCAAGTGGGCGCGAACTGCGTGACCATCACCCAGACATTCGACACGACGCGATACTACGCAGTGGAGACCAAGGTCTGCGACGGCAACAACTACCAGCAGGCATGTTACCATATGCAGTCCGTCATGACCCACAGCCTCGGCCTGGCTCCTGGCGCAACCATCACGCTCACCTGTCCGGCGACGAGGTGGGCGGGCAACAGGCGATGGGCTCCCGGGCTGTGGGACGCCATGCACCACCGCGCCTGGCTTTCCTGGATTCCCCGGCTGCCAGCGAACCAAGGCCTCTGGTGCGAGCGAGACGAGTTTCCATACTTTGCCTTCATCGGCGAGCCGGGGTTCAGCTGGCAGTACATCCGCCTCATCCCCAAAACCCACAACGCCGGGGCCGGGCAGCTCGCCAACGGCTTCTGCCCCATGTTTGCCGAGACGACCATCGAGACGACCATCAACACTCTCAACGGCAGAAACGGGCAGCTGACGTGCTGGGAAACGGTGGACCGAACGACCAGCCTGAAGCGCATGTTTGTCGAGAACATCAACATCCCGGACCACAACGGCAACCAGGGGCTGGCGCTGAACCCGTGCCTCCCGACCATTACCAACGACCCGGGATACGCGCTGTACACCGACGACCGCTACTACGCCCGGAACGGCCTCGGCTATCCACCGTACTGGTGGGCGCCGGCACCCAGTCTGACCGTAGGCCACGTCAAGCCCGTGCCCAACGCAGGCTTCATCGACGGGTTCGGGAAGCGCGACGGCGACAATCTGATCGAGTTCCCGGCCGACCAGGAACAACCGCCCGCCGGCGCGCCCCCGATCCGCAACCCGCTGGGATTACGCCCATTTCCACCTGTGGGGGGCAACAGAAAGAAGCGCTCCGCAAACCACCAGGGAAACGACAACGACAACAGCTTCAAAAACGACGAGTTCAACCTCCCCGAGCACTCCTACCTAGCCGTCGTGCTCGAGCTCGCGCGGCGGGCCGCGACGGACCACACGCCAGATTGGCGGGCGGCGGCGCTGGGGTTCGGCATCAGCGACGGCAACCGCACGCGGGCGCCGACGCGCGCCGAGCTCCTACAACAATTCGGGGTGCTGCGGTGCGCGTCCGAAAACTGCGAGCGCGAGCTGGACGCCGTCGGCCGCGACGAGCGTGGCAACTACAAGCTGCGGAGCGGGCCTGTTGCGTATGAGACCGTGACGGGAGCGGCGACGGCGGCTGAGACGGGGGGTCCGGCGCAACAGGCCGCGGCGAGCCTATGTGCTACGGCTACGGTGGCTGCGTCGACGGAGAGTGGTGGCGGCGCGGCGGAGACTAGGGCGGGTCGTCCCGGAAGAGGGAGAGGCCGCCATGATCGCCGGGCGTATGATGAGTATTATCAGCCTCATGCCCCTACTCATGCGCCGGTGGTCACCTTTGAGAATAGGGGGTGAACGCTTTAGGGTGGAGGGGGGGTTTATATTTTACTTGGCTCAGGGGAAGGAACACTCGTTCGAGATACGTTAGGATGTAGCTCAGTCATGAGAAATGGTAGATGAAATGGTAGGAGTCGAGAAGTTATAGTAGGTAGCTGTCGTCTCCAGCGCACCTCACTATGCCGAGATACGATGCAAGACGGGTCAGACGTTGTCCGTGGGCCTAGGTAGGTAGGGTGATAAACTGCATCACGGTCAGTGCTGTAAGACGACGAAACGTTATGACACCACCAACGCCCGATTCGGGAACGAGTCGGGTTCCGGGCCACCTGCATTACTATTCGGCGAACCAGTATATCCCCGAGGCCTGCTCCCTCTCCTCGTACCCAAACCACCTTCTCCTGCCGCTTCTGCCGAGCCCTAATCGACGGAACCACGATGACTGAATATCACGCACATCCATCCTCATCCAGCCGTGGTACTCATCATTCTCGTCCAACCCGTAGCCCACCTCCAGGCCACCCATATAATCCGTCTCTAAAAGCCACACCCAAACCCCTACGCCAGTACCAAGGAACTGGCGCTTCTCCTCGAGGTCGACGGTACACCGTAGCGGCGGCAGCTCCTCGGGTAGCGTAGCTAGCGACGCAACACTCTCGGAATCAAGGACCAGACAAATACAAAAACGTGGATTGTTCTCGGGGTCCCAACCGGCCTCCACACTTGCCACCCACCGACTAAAGTAGTCGCCCAAGGCCGGGAACCTCGCATCATCAGCGCCGCCGTTCAAATGAGCTTGCCCCTCCTCATTCCTAACTACCTCAATATAAAACCGACGAAATAGCTCCTAGTTAGGGTTGTCGTAATCGACCCGGTACTGCCCACACAGCGCACCAAACGCCGAGAAGCGGCCAGTGTAATTGTCCCACCAGTAGACTTGGCTCTTGAGGCCCCTAATGAACTGGTTCAGCGCGCCCAGGCTGCCGGTGGCGCTAGTGTCTTTGAGCGGGGGGTCTTGTCCTAGAGGTGTTGGCAGATGGGCCCGAAGGCGGGCGGCGGCGTGCTTGTCGGACTCGTCATTTTATTAAAGGGGGGGATTATAGGAAATGTCAATGGGAGCGGGGAGCTTTTGGTAGATGACTGGAGTTGTCTGTAATGAAACAACCCGGGTTTAGCAAAGTTCTTCCACAGAACTCGAACGGTTTATTCGTATGGCCTATAGAAATGATGTTTTGACCAATATTATGCAGGCCAAGCAGTGGAGTCGGTTCAAAATCAGTGGCTGGGCCAGGCCTTTAGCCCTTTGGACCCCGACTGTCCCAAGGTCTGGTGCCACCCATGGGCCATAACCTGCAAGCAAAGGTCCAGTCTGCTCTCCGTTATTACCCTCCAACCGCCCCCGATCATCTCCATTCACCCACTTCACTACAGTAACCCTTCAACCAATGGACCAGATCCCAGTCGTGTCCCCGTTTAGGGGCCACATCACAGCTCCTCCCCCCGCAGACTCACCCCTCGCCTACAACGAAGATGTGATCGTCAACCTGGTGATACAAATCCTCACAATGCTCATTTCCATCGGACACATCAAGGCCGAGCGCATCCTGTTCGCCCCACCCGGCGGCCACACCGACATTGACGAAGCCGTCTGCGCCGAGCTAAACCTCGCCCCGCGCGTTGTGTCGCTTTTGAAACGGCTGCCGTACTGGACCAGCAGCGAATTCGTCGAGTGGGCCCAGGTCCGGCCGGACTCGTATTTGCCCAACTATCGGGACCCTGAGCACCTCCGTCTCGGCCGTCGCGTGTGTGGACTGCCCATTGGTATCAACCCGGACGCTGGGCTAGTTAACACGCAGCTTCGGCCGGGAGAGGTGATTTTGTTGTTTGAGCGAGAGGAGGGAGAGACGTGGATTTTGGACACTGAAGCGAGTGAGTATTGTCGAATTGCCCTGGCTGAATGACGCTGATGGAGGCAAAGACACCATCCGACGCAGCGATAATAGCGCAGTCGTCCTCGACCACATCCGCCAGGAATTTCCCGACTATGTGCCCGAGTTTCCCGAGGAGCCGAACCATTACCGCAACCGTGTCGCGCTGCATGCACCCACCGTTCTGGCCGACTATATTGACGACCTGCGACGTCTCGACTTCATGCCCACCGGAGGTCTTGGTACCGGCGAAGCAACCGTTGTATCGACGGGCTGGGAGCCGGGTATGGCCGTAGTGAGGGACGCGCTACTGCAGCGGTATGGTTGGCCCGATGAGTTCCGCGCCGAAGAGTGGAGGCAGGAGGGACGCGCCATCTATGACACGGCAAGGCAAGGAGTGAGCTGGGGCCCGGGAGGGTTTGGACTGCCGTTGAACGAGATGCAAGTCCCCGGTTTGCATCCGGATGTGATTCAGTACTTACAGAGGAGAGGCGCGTAGGTACCTAACCTAGACAGAAGAACCTATATACCTACCCTGACCCTTTGCTGCCCGACATCAGATCGGGAGAGAATAAACGTCAGAGATTGATGATTCGGGGGTTGAAATGGCCGTCCTTACGGCCGCCAAGCGGTTGCTGCAGGCCCGTGGCACAACCGAAGTCGAGCGAAGCTACCGGAATTCAGCTTCTGCCGAGCTTCTCCGATCTCGCGTCAGCAGATTCCATTTGACTAAGGCTACACCGGTAGCGGCGCACTGGGAAATCGACGTGTCTCACCTTCTTGTCATATTCACAAGTCGCAACGGCCGAGGACTGTTTCCACACGCCAGGGTCAACAGAATCTGTGTCGTGTTGACTTGTCCACGGAGGTCACGCTTCTGCTACAACTACACCCAACCAAACTCGCCTAAACCCCTCACCCACATCCTGCAATCAACCATGGCCAAACCCTGCATCCTCTTCCTCCACGGCTCCGGCACAAACGCCGACATCTTCCGCCTCCGTGCGTAACCCCCCTATTTCCCTTTTCCCAGCTCTCCCACCACTCCCCTCCCACTCAAAACTCATCAGACCGACCCAACCAAGCCCCTATCTTCAACGCTCATCTATCCACCCATCTACCCACCCACCAAACACCCCAGTCCCCACCCCACCCTCCTTAGAAACATCTACCCACTAACGCTTGCCCTCCCCCTAACACAGAAAACGCGCACACTCGCCGCTCCTCCTGCTATCACGTTTCACACTCCCTCTACCCCTCACGCACCCCACGCCAGGGAGCCCGGCCCCCAGGGGTGCCTGCCCGATCATCTACGGACTCGACCCCTTCAGCAACGTGGAAAGAACGATAGTCTCAGCTGGCGCTTCGAGGACGCATAATCGGTCATTGGAGGACGGTCACCAGCGGCCTCGGCGACGGCTGTTTGTCGATTGTCGTAGAAGCATGGCTGCTGGAAGGTAAGG